GGGGGCTCATATGATGTACTATCTTATAGTGATATTATAATTTATATAATGATAATATAATTTAACATGATAATTTCTGTAGTTAGGAATTCGATATTTAGTATGATCCTGCCTTTTTGGTCAGACAGAAGGAGCCATTGTTATGCTGTGCATGGTATGCACTGTAAAAAACTAACTTTTTGCATCATGTCACATGATGACTGCCATGTTACCCGTTCTGGGGTCATAAGACCAGCAGCAAACCAATGAGAAAACATTTCTTTCAAACTTGAGTTCATTGACTTCAGGCGTGGATTGTCACGATATGTCTGTGACATCATCATATCCTACAAAGAAAAAATGCAATTACTGTAGAATACTTTATTTTCATTTGGATTTTTGCTGAAGGGATGATTCCGTGAAAATAAAATCCAGTGAATATACTTTTTTTCCTACATTTCACATTAAACTCATCAAAAATCAGTGAAAATAAATTCCATACAAAACACCCAAAAAGCCTTTTTAGCGAAAATTAATTCCAGCGAAAATAAAGTATTCCACAGTATTATTTTTCTTGATCATTTCATCCAACATCGATAGTATAGTACTGGTAATAACAATAAAGACACTTCCATTAGCTGTGATGCCTTAATAAATGAATAATTGTAATATAATGTAAATAAATGTGAATCTGTGTTTTGTGGGTTTTTTTTTTTGAGGCAGCTGGTACTGAAGTTATTGTTTGATTTTTGGCTCCCTAAGTATAAAGCAAGTATAAATGTGTTTTGAAACGTCTTTAATTATGTGATCATTTTTATTATTTAGTATGTTTATTAATGTCTCTCCATACATGTTATGTTTAGTAAAAAGGCTGGTTCTTTCTTTATCATATAGCTGGCACGTGAAAAGGAAATGTTTCTCATCTTCAATTTCTCCAAAATCACAGACAGGGCATTTTCTATCAGAGATGGAAATGTTTTTGTATCTGCCTGATTCAATCTGTAAACAGTGGGCACTTATTCTAAGTTTAGTCATTGCAGCACGGTATAGTGGATTTTTAATTATTTGGAGGTATTTCTCAAAAGAAAAATCAGTTTTTATTTCTCTGTATGTTCTCAAATTGTTTTTGTGATGCACGCCCTTTTAAGTTTTTCTGTAATGTCTTCAATAGTAGCATTGCTGTATTTAATTTGCCCATCTTTCCAGATTTTGCTTAAATTCAGGTTTTCCAAAATCTTTTTCACACCAGATACCCAGTTTTTAGTACCAGAATCATGCATCTTAATACCAAGCTTGTATGCTTCACATACTAATGTATTTTCAGGCATTTCCTGAACCCTCATCCAATATTTTAACATTTGTTTTGTACCCTGTATTGTAAGAGGGTACCTCCCCAATTCAATTAAACATGGCAAGTTTGAGGCTCTGCTGTTCACCTTTAATAAAAACTTGCAGAATTTGGTATGGAGTTTTTCTATGGGTGTTGTCAAATTCCAAAGTTGTTTTGTGTGGGCAATAATATCACTAGACCATATTTCAGTGCAGTATAGGAGAATTGGTCTAACTACTGCATCAAACATCTTCAAATGAATTTTGAGTGGTGTAGTTGTATTAGTTGTATTAATTGGACTACCTCTATTAGTTGGACTACCTCTATTAGTTGGACTACCTCTATTAGTTGGACTA